CACTTAAATAGTTTAGATGTATTCTGCACTCATTTCTATTTAATTTGGTATATTATAAGCCCCTATACAGCCAATACTTTTTCTTCGGAAAGGTTTTAGCTTTGTCATATCACCGTGAAAAAATTCAGCTTAAAATTATTGCTGTTCAAACCCCAGAAAAAGATGTCATCCTGAAAGAGTTAAAACACACCAAAAGGTATCCAATTTTAAATTTTTTTAAAACCGTTAAGGTTCCTTTGATCAGAACTGAAATTCTTTATCCATTACATAAATGTTCTACTTTCTTTAAAAGTGTGTGCTCAGTTTGTCACAAAGCTGTTTTGACGAAACTGGTACATTGAGGACGGTCCCCTTGTCCATAAACAATATCTCAATACTGCATATGAAATCAACAGCTCACAGTTCACACAAAGCACTCAACTCAGGAGCTGGGCAACAAAATCCTTTGTATTCCCAGTCCAGAAATGAGAAATCTGCATCAGTAAAATCCAGCTGGAAACATAAAATTAGCCGACTATTGGCCATTTTGGTTGGAAGTCCTTTGCATAAATGGCTTTTTATTTTCTATTGTTCCCCAGCCATTCTGTTCACTGCCCTAAAATGGTGGCCAGTTACATTCAGAATGACGTGTGCTTTTGCAGAAACATTGCTGGCTTTCATGACTGACTGTTTGTGCCTACAGTGAGCTGTAGTTCTGGTGTGGGACCGCACTGCTTTAAGCATTTTACTTTTAGCGTGCAGCAAGCTTCAAAATTGTGCTTGGACTGAAAAGTTTTCAAATTTTCAAATAAAAAGGAAAAGTCGGGAGATGTGAACCAGCGTCATTGCACACAGTTATAAACTATAAGTGCTCTGCCAACATGGACAGCTGATAAGAAACTGTCCGCCTGTGTCACCGTCCCCATGAAACTCCGTAGCTACAGCAACATTCCTCCATTTACCCCAGAGTGTTAACTCTGGTACCCATTTCCTAGAGGCTGGGTGAACCCCGGAATGGCCGGTTTCGAACACTGGCGATGGGCTGCAGCGCGTCGCAGCTGGATTTGAAAGCAAGTATCCTATTGACTACACTAATGCAGCTCCTAATAGTTTTCAGATAGGACAGTTAATGACATTTAGTGTGATTTCCAATGACAATGCAATGGAGCAGTTATGTGGTGACCCATCTGCAGTGATACAGGAACCCAAATATTTAACTTCTCCGTAAGGTCACTAACACTAGACGAGACAGGGTTACGAATACCAGTTTTAGAGAGAAAGTTGGAATAAGACCATATCTGGATTATACTGACAGGCAAAGAATGAAATGGTTTGGCCATCTAGTGAGAATGCAGCCAGATGAGACTGCATATGAGACTTTTTACAGTAAAACATCTGGGAGAAAGGCGAGAGGAAGACCCAGAAAGAGATGGACGAATGATGTAGCTGAAACCTTGTAAAAGATGAACAAATCCATCACTCAAGCCACCCGAGAAGTACAAGACAAATACAGAAAAACATGACACTGGGCTTCAACCTGGTATCAGTGAGACGACAAAGAAGAAAGAAGAAGAATATTTAACTACTTAACACTGCATATACTAATATAGTCAGCATTGGTGGCTTAGACATTGTGAAGGTACTTAGCAATTTTGGAATACTAGCTTGATTCCAGCTGCAGCCAATCTGACAGCAGACCCCTTTGTGCTGATTTTGAAAATGATATGTTGAGCTGACCATTCAGTAAGCAATAGTAAACTGTTGAACGTAAAATTGCCTAATGAAAACAAACAGTTTAAAATGCTGGGTGCAGTGTCCTGTGAAGGGTTGGACATTTAAAACGATGTGGTGGCAACTTGGCGTGGCTTATTTTGCTATAGAAGCAGCTGTTCCGAATGTCCCAAAAAAAAAAGGTTCAATACTACCTTACTATATTGCAAGAAATATGAACTCCAAATGACTCCTCTTAAATAATATATTACCTAATTACCTGCTGCAATAAACTAATGACAACAAGAATCATGCTGTGAACAGACAGCTCAAGAAAACTACAGGGAACGATTAAACAGCTCATCACAAGAACAAAGGTTTGCATAATGGTTATTAATATATTTTAGGACAGATTAAGATTAAATAAAACTCAGATGAGAAGCATATTATGGATTTTTTGTTTGTTTTTTTGCCCATGAAATCTGATTGTGAGTGGTGATGAGCAGGCTGACAGATAAGCTGCTGCTGCCTCTGTTGTTTGTGTCTGTCTACTTTGTCAATTGCCTATTTTTGGTCTGTAAAGGCTGAGATAAAAAGCGGTTTTCATTAAATTTGATTAGTTTTTTTTTTATTAGCTGTCTAACAGCAAAGATGACACCTGTGCAATCACTGCTTTTGCTAAATCCTAGTCTTGCTGTGCTTAGGCAATCAGCAGTCATACTTAACAAGTACACAGAGGACATAAGTTAATTTAGAAAATTGATCATCTGCACTGCTCAGCATAGCACATGGTAACTATGACATTTACCAGTGCTAGTATTTGATATAATTTTAAGGAATAATTCTTAACTACAGTACAATAATTCATTCATTCATTCAGTAGCATGTCTCTCGCGGAACCTCGCTGCCATAACAACCCTCCGGAAAACCTTCCTATCATGAGCAAGATGTCCTGCGTCTGATACACCCATCTGGAGATCATCTGCCACATCCTGCACCCATCTTCTCCTTGGCCTTCCTCTTCCTCTCTTCCCAGGCATATACCCCTCCATTATTGTTCTCTCTAGACCTCCATGACGTTTCAAGTGACCAAAATATTTCAATTTTCTTTGTTTTATTGTCTTTACTAGCCAACCCTCTTCAATATTCAGCTCTTGAAGTATGGATGCATTTGTTCTTTCTTTTACCCAAGATATTCTTAGAACCTGTCTGTAACATTTATATTCAAATGCATTTATGCGCTGTTCCGCTTGTTTAGTAAGTGTCCAGGTCTCACAGGCGTATGTTGCAATGGGAAAGATGCATGCTCTTAAAAATCTGACCTTTGTAATTCTATCTGTACAATTCCATAATTTATTCAGTTGTTTTAGTCTTTGAAGAGCAATTGATAGTCGCCGTTTAATTTCTTTCATTGTGTCACCATTGTTGGTAAACAGTGACCCAAGATATTCGAAATTTTCCACCACTTCCAATCTTTCCTCATTAACATATATTTCCTTCTCCATGGCAGTTTTGTTTGTATGCATTATCTTTGTTTTTGCTGTGTTAAGAAATAAGTTATGATTTTCACTATTTCTTTGGAGTGAGGTTAATAAGTTTTCTAAACCATTTTGTGATGTTGATAGTAATACTGTATCATCAGCATAACGAATTTCTGGTATTTCATGACCACCGATGTTTTAGGGCATCATATTGTTCCTTGTTTATATCATCTCTTACATTTCTCATTATATTTTCGGCGTACAGGTTGAACAAATACGGTGACAGCACACATCCCTGACGGGACTCCTTGCTTGATGCCAAACCAGTCTGATGTCTCTCCATCTATTCTGACTGCTGCTTGTTGGTCTTGATAGAGCATTTTAATGAGCTGCACTATATGTGATGGAAAGCCCATATTCCTCATGATTTCCCAAAGCTTCTGATGTTGTACACAGTCAAATGCTTTTGAATAATCCACAAAACATAAGAACAGATTTACATTAAATTCTCTACACTTCTCTATTATTAAACGCATGTTGAATATATGATCTCTTGTTCCTCTTCCAGTACAATAATAAGGCTACATAATAAACAGCAATGGAGACTGACCAATAAAAGTCAAAAGGAGGATAGCTGTAGCAATACAAAGATTAGGCAGCATTAAAAGTCTATGGTTTAGCAACAGCAAGGAAATCAAAGCCAACATTTAGACAGCATGCATCTTCCCTGTAAAAACATACGGATGTGAGTCATGGACTACCTTGCAGTCATTAAGGAAGTAAATATAGGCTTTTGAGCTGAAATGCTATAGAAAATACTTGCTGATAGTTGAAAAGATCTGAACATCAAGGACAATCAGCTAGTAAACAGCATTTTTGTCTCAGAAACTGAAGTATTTTGGCAACATAAAGTGCTATGGTGGATTGGAAAGAATAATAGCAGAAGGCAGGAAAAAGGGGCATGCTACCGGGAAAGAGGGACAAGGGGCCAACCAGCACAAAGATGGGCATAGGTTATAAGTGACAGATGGGAGAGCTGGCGAGAGACTGAGTTTCTTTCAGGCACACTGTGATGAGAGTGATGCTCTGCAAAGGACCTCCTCCTAAATAGCGATGACAACCGAATAATAAATAAGCCAGTATGGACATGAATATTTGGTGACAGATGACAGGTTGATAGCCACTGAAGAGCGTTTCTACCAAGTGGAGAAAACCGACAAATATAACAGTACAGATGGTAAATAAATAATTTGTCATATGCATTAAATACCACTTGTCGAAAATCAAGGATGGAGGTATCAGTTTTATCCAGGGGGCTCAGTGGTCTCGGGGCATGGCGTCCGCCTCAAGTGCTATAGGTCCCAGGTTCAGATCAAGGCTGGGATTTTTTTCACGTGGACTTCTAGTAATTTCCACTGGTCTCTGAGTAGTAAGATTGGATGCCCGTGTATATGCTGCGCAAGTAAAAAATTCCTTTGGCAGTTGGAAATCGAAAATAGTAGCCTAACGGCGCTGCCGGGGCAAAATTTGGATTTTAAAAAATACCCACTGTATTTCAGGACCCTTGCCTGTGCTACAGAAGTTGTGCACTGCGCTCAAATTCTTCGGACTCAGGATTGAGTTAGAAGTAGAATGGAGCACTTATGGGTTACTACCCATGAGCCATGATGTTGATTCCTTGTTTAAACCTAACCTAAACCTGAAGAGAAATGTTACTTTCAACCAACGCATAATTGACCCTTGATTTTAAAAAGTCTATATCAAAAAAAAAATTAAAAGAAAAGAAAATTTAATATTCATATTCTGCTGTGGTTTATAGTCCTTACGTACCTGTTAGGATTCACAAGCTCTTCTGTTAGAAAGTTCAAGTAACTCCTAGAAAAGCATTGGGAAAATCTTATTTAGATTAAATACAAAATTCTGCCAAGATAATAATACAAATATTAATACTTAAATGTATAGATATTTCCATTCTTTAACAAATTTAATAATAAAAAGAAATTTAAAAAACCATGCACAAAAACAATCACCCTTCCTCTTCTTCTTCTTTCGTTCACCTGGAATAAGTTGTCTATATCAGCAGTTTTGTCTCTTGTATAAATTTCACTGTCGTCGTTAGTTTATTCAGTGGTCCATAGAGTTTACGTTCCACTGTTGTTCTTTCTGGCCAAAAGGTTTGCCTTAATGTGTCAAATTCGGTGCAGTCCTGGAGTACATGTTCTGCTGTCTGGGACACCTTACCACAGGTGCACGTGGCTGATACACCTGTTTTGAATTTTGTGTACATGTGGTTATGTAATCGGTTGTGCCCTGTTCTGAGGCAGAGGATAATGACTTGTTATGATCTGTCCATAATAACAAAGTCGTCTTGTGCTGGGGCTGGTGGTTTCCTGATCGATTTAATGATTCTTTTCTTTTGGTGGTATGTGACTGGTACAGCTGCACTTTTGTCGCACCTTCCCCTGCCAGTTGATCAGCTTTTTCATTTCCAGGCACTCCATAATGAGACGGTATCCACTGCATTATGACTCTTCGCTGAAGGCTGAGTTGTGTCAGCAGTGTTTGCAATTCTGGTAGTTTAACAATCACCCTTTTTTTAACCGAAGTTAATTTTTTTCTTTATACCAGCTAGATTGCATCATCCCCATTTTCAATATTTCTATAGTACAATATTTCTGAGGTTTTCTACAGCTTCTCCTGTCCAGAACTGAAAATCAAAGTGTTTGTTTACATTTATTTATAGAAATGGCAATGGTGCAATACAGTTCACAGCAGATAATATTTATACTCTATATAAAATGCAGACTAATTGAATCTTTGAATGAAACATTATTTGCAGGAGACTGGAAAAGTGCCGACTGCCTTTTATAGGCAACACAACAATTATTACAAGCATATAATACACAACACAGATTAACGCTGGGACTAATGACTGATCACCCCTCTGTAGACAATTACATAAAACAAATTAATGCTAAGACCAATGTTTTCATCATCAGGTGCCTTGCCGACTGGCGTGGGTGATCATGCCTCTCCACAATTAGCGATCTCCTGCAGCATGTATCAGTTCATATGCTGACACACCTCCATGCCACGCAACAAGACTGTCAAGAATCTTCTCTCGTTGCCTTCCTCTATCCCTCCTTCCACAGATCTTTCCAGTGGTCACAACCTGCTCCATTTTCCCTCTTCTCATAACATGGCTGAAAAATTATGACTGTCCCCTTCTGATGTCTGTGATAAGTTGTCTTCAGGCTCCAACCTCTTTCAAAACCTCCTGGTTGCTATGAATTATCCCAACATTTATTTCACACAATGCACATTAATGCTAAGTATAATGACTTACTAACCACTGTAGACGGTTTTTTTTTTTTTTTTTGCACACAACACAGATTAATGCAATGATTAATGACTTATTACCCACTGTAGGCAACAACTATGTCATAACAGCAATGATAAGACAGTAAAGCTTCATGGCTCAGAGCAGGGCAATTTAACTTAGTTTTACTGAGGGGCCAAAATTTTGAAAATGGGGATCTTCATGGGCCAGCAGATGCCTGAGCCCCAGCACAGAACGATTACTAATACAATACAACTGGCAATGATCCGCAGGCCACTTGCTAGAACTCCATGGGCCAAATTTGGTCAGCTGGCCATTAATTGAAAAGCCCTGGCTGAGAGGTTGGCGAATGCGGTTAACAACTTCATGTTCTGGAGTACTAGGGTTCGTTCCCTGCAGTGGACTGTTTAAAACAAATGGTTTTAGTGTTTTCTGGAGAGTGGTATGAGAGTCATACCATGGAAAAGATTGAGACCCCAACACATAATATTCCTAAAGACAACAGTGGTACACAGTAGCCATCCTTCACTGTGGACACAGCACTTGCTTTTTAACTGCTAAGACTGATGACTAGGCTACACAATGATTTAAATACAACACAAGTAAATGCTAAGACCAATGACTTACCAACCACTGTAGGCCCAGAAGCCAGAATAAAAGGACAAAGCAATGGCACCAGCACCGTATTCACTATCAGCAAAGCTATCTTCAAATGCTTCAGTCTCTCCTGCAAATATATACTCAACTATTTAAACTTGAATTCATGCCTACAAAAACAAAAATTCTACTTACTGTGTATTTTTTTTTTCTTTTGCTAAAGTGAAAATTTCGAGATGTATATCTCATGGATGTGAGTCATGTACTCTTACTCAGTCACCAAATAAAAAACTTGAGCTTTTGTAGTGAAATGTTAAAGAAACAATTCTCAGAATATCATGGACCAAGAAGAGAAAAATGTCAACATCCTACATGATCTGAACATCAAGGAGAACTGGCTCATAAACAGCATCCTGTAGCTAAAGCCTGAGAAAAAAAAAACTGGTGAGGGAGGGCACAGTTTCAGGACACAGGCGGACCTTCAATAAAGCTGGAAACTAAACAATGAAAATGCATTGGCTATGATAGCATATAAGGCTGGAGAACTGGATTAAAAAATAGAGACCTTCAGCTGTGCCGTGCCAAAATCAACTCTCTGTAAAGACCCTGCTGATTGATAATGAGACTGTGCAGGCGGTAGTTACTGCTCACTATTTCTATTGTTCTCCATCTTTCTAATCAATCTAGTGCTTTAACAACGTGCTCGAAAACTCGTAACTACATGTCAGAAAACACGTAACTACATGTTAGAAAACTCGTAACTACATGTTAGAAGAGACGTAACTACATGTTAGAAAACACGTAACTACATGTTAGAAAAGGAAGAAACCAACCTTTGGCGAAATACCACATTCCAAGGCCAATAATGAGAATAAGTGCAATTAGCTTGGATGCTGTAATCACTACCTGAACACGAGTTGCCCATTTCACATTGCGTGAGTTTACAGCAATGAGAAGCCCTGTAACAAATAATACAGAAACATTACTATTACATTGAACTGATCTGTTTAAAAAAAAAAAATTATACAACAAAGAGCATTCCAGTTTCTGGCAATACAGAAATAATTCCTTGCACAACAAAAATGTGTAACCCAGATAATTTCAAACAGGCCAGGGCCCAAAGACAACTACAGTGGTACCTCAGAATTCAAACATAATCTCTTCCAGAACAGTAATCCGATTCCAAATCCTTCAAGTTCCAATGCTATTTTTGCCCACTGAAATTAAAGTAAACTAAATTAATCTGTTTGAGCGTTAATTTGGGCGCATCAAACATTGTTACAAGTTCACATACATGGATACCACTTTCATGCTTAGTGATAAGATCTTTTTTAAGTATACATAAAGATATTATTTAAACTGCATAGTAGATTAAATGTACTAAAAAGACCACAATTATTTATCATATAACTTACTGGACACACAAGATTAATTATTCTCTGTACAACAGTCATTTATAACTGTACACCACAACTATTAAAAGGAAGTTGCCATGGCAGAGCCCGCCGCGGATCGGAAGATCGTGGGTTCGCTCCCTGGCAGAGCCGGACTTTTTTCAAAAATGCTCTTGGCTCTCAGATCGACCCAGCCTTGAGTGGGTACTGGTGCAGTTCCGGCAAGTAAAGGTGGCCGATGTGATGCTGACCACATCAGCCATCTTGTGCCAATTGGTCTATTGTTTGTTTTAGTATCTAGAAGCCATGAGTTGTTGACCCTTAGGCTCGGTACTATGGATATCGCAACCTTTCGGCCTTGATTCCATTGTAAATACCGTAGATCTGGGAAAAATGTGGCTTTTCTGCTCACCCCCGGGAGCGAACCCGGACCACAAGGAGTTCATCACCCGGTCACCGCGCAATCCGGTTTAGCCAACTACGCTAGAGAGCCGGGCTTCAATTGGTCTATAAAATATAGATCTAGCCCTATATGCCTAAAGGCGTGGAAAAGGGTCCTTTACTTATGTCGTGAAATGATAGCCATTACGCATCGGTCTGTAAGGCTGATAACCTGTCTTACCTGTAATCTGCACAAAATTCAAACTTGGACTCGCCCAGAAATATATAGTCCCTTATATCTATATATATAGGCCTGTATTGGACAACATTATTATGTCTGCCTTTTCTGGTTACTTTAACTAAACTCCACTTTTAAATGTATATCTCTTGGAGATATATTTAGGGAGTTATTTGAGGTTTCTTGGAAACCAATTTACTCCTTGCCCCAGTATACAAGGGACTTCTTTTGTACCAACGCCTGAAGTGTCTAAGTGACGCTATTCTCCTTGCCAGCTTCTCAAGCGTCCAGATGTGTTAATCTGTGCCTGTATAACTTTCACTTTTCAAGGCAATCTGGAAATGTCTCAGTTTTTACATATGCTTGGGTAAGTTAATTATAGTTTACGAGTACCTAGAATGATGTCTGTAAAGTAGTCACTGCTGTAGAGAAATCAGTATCGGCTGTGTGATTCCACTTAGTTCGACCGTTCTTGATCGCTAGAGAAGCGGATTCGAACGTAGATCTTCCACTGTACAGACTAAATAGCTTATGCCCTCAATAAACCACCCATACTGATAAAACTTAATACCCTTTACAATTGTGTACGTTTTAAACTAATTAACGAATCTGTACATACGAAATGGGGACAGAATTGGGTCAGGGCTGTGTTAATCAAAGTATGTGTGTGTTTGACCCAGATCAATGAGTGCTGGGGCGGTTGGGAAAGCTAGTGAATGCAGGTACTGACAGTAAATATTGGTGTCTGTGTGCAGAGTGAGGGGGAGAGGGAGAGTGATATATGTGTTAGACCACTTTATCTATCTCCACTGTATATCTGACTTGCCTTCTCTTGCACTAAACAGACAGATAAATATAGGAGACTTATGTCTTTTGGTCTGGAGAGGCAATCTGAGGAATGTAACAGGAGAGCAGGGAGGAGTCAGCAGATAAGGGTTGATGACTGATGCTTGCTCTGTCTTTCCTGTCAAGATGTTACCCTCTTGGTGATGACTAATGTTGAGTTATTTTCTTGACAGGATGTATATTTTCTGAAGAGCTGGCAGAAGATTCACAGTCCAACCAACATCCACCAACCATCAAACCACCAGAAACAACTTGTTACCCACCAGCTAACACCTGTGAAGGTTCCTGACATCTCCAACATGTGGGAGATGGTACCTCAAACAGCTACCAGTGCTAGAGCTTAATGTGGCTCAAAGACATTGTGTGTCCTTACTGGTGATAGAGACTTGCTAAATACCGGTACAGTTGCTGTGTCCTATTTAGTGAAGTACTCTTACTACTTGATCCAGTGGAGCAGAATTCCCAGAGTCAAAGACAGTCGACTCATCCGGAGCTGAGGGAGGCATCATAGACAGAAAGAAGAGAAGATAGGTCTGATGCTTCGCATGATGTTGTGTTCCTCACAGCTCCTTGTGTCCAGTGATGACAAGATGTCATCTCCAAGACCTTCTGTCTGTGTAGTATCTTTGTGATTTGGACATGATATCCTGAGATCTGGCATTTGTCTCACTTTTATATATCTAATTTATATTGATTACATACATTCATTTTCATGGCTGACTTAGGTATCTCTATTTCACCTTTTTAAGTGTTTAGCAGTTGTGTATGTATGTATCTTCATTATATGTGTTAACATGGTTATGATAATGAACTATCATAACCTGGGGGCTTTCTTTAGTAAGTAGTGGGGGTGTCCAGCCAAGTGTGCCTAGAAATATTATATATATATATACTGACATATTTTGTAGTGCCAATACTTGAGTTGCCCTACTCCAGAGATAAGTTGATCGTATATTGGCCACGGGGAATCCCTTAGACCAATACGAGCCAAACGACTCAACATAATTATCTCTGAGTGCTGTGGGTTCTGAAGGAGGAATCCTTACCTTAGGCACGCGACAGGAGTGATATGTGACAACTTACAACTATTACAAGCCCAGGGCGCCCAGCTAACAATATACAACATGCAACTTGTTATAGTTAGTAAAACCAATATGGGACGCAATTTTTCTTTACTTTAAAGCCCCACTCCGGCTGTTGTCGGGGTCCATAATATAACCCAACTTAAGGGTTGAATGGGGTTTCTGCGACCTGTCCCCATGTGATTCTCCTCCAAACAGTGGCACATTGTGTCACCAGGTGTTTAATCGCCGTGATTGTGTGATGTCCTGCTGGTAGGGTGGAATGTCAATCAAATCAATCAACTCGATTTGTCAAGAGTATAAGCCACTATCTGTATAGGTTTGATTCAGTTGTTGTATATGCAAACACTATATACTTATATGTAAGACACCCCATACTTGTCTGAGTCATGGCATGCAATTTTAGATGATTGTTGTAAAGAGTTTTTTTTAATCCTGTGACCATTAAACTATATGATAAATCATTAAAAAAATTTCAGAACATTAATTATATGATGCATTTTTAATAACGCCTTTAAAAAAGTTTTTTTATATATCATCATTTTTATTCTTCCATCTGCCAGCTTTCTCCTCAGAGTTGTTACAAGAAGGTATTATTAACCCAGAGTCTTCAAGAGTCTTGTCTTGGTTGGCAGACCAACGGAGCACATTCAGATACCTTGTTCAACCTCTGAAGAAGTTAGTTATAACCAGGGCACACGGTTACATCAGCCTGCAGTTCTGTTAGGGTAAGAATGCCTTCATCTTCTGCGTTCACCCTTTATAAGATCAGCTGGCACGTTGTGGTTTACTGCTAAGTTGCAATGTCTGCTCTCTTTGGCCTAGACATCCAATTTCAGCAGACCTGTAGTTAGTCATCTTTTGTGGCATGCTTGCTCAGGAGCAGTGGGTCTATTGTTTTGTTCTCTAGCACTGGGCCCACGAATTAAAACAGAGAGCTGTGGATGTACTAGATCAGTGTTCTTCAACCGGTTGGCAATGGGCTACAGAAAAACCCAAGGTGGCCGGCTATAAGCTTTTGCCTAACCTGGCTTTAAACATGCCAGAGTAGGTATTTTGTCTTCTCTGGTATTTCAGACCAATATTCAAGGCATGTTATGGGTTGGGTTTAGGGTTAGTCGGTCTCTCTGAGGTGGTCACGGCAGACAAAAATCTGTTTCATTTTCGTACCAGGGCAAGCAGGCCTTTTCTTGCTACTGTCCCACCAAATTATAGCTCCAGTGAACATTTCAACTATAACACCCCTACAATATTGGACTTTCCCGGATTTCCTTTGTTTGGGGTGAACTTACAATTGAAGTACCCTACACAGATATGTGTGTAGCACTAACTGCT